AGACCAACTTGCAGGATTTCTGCCAATTCTAAGGGGCTAGGTCTGCACATGAAGACCACCCTAGTACCCAGAAAGGAGTCTGGGGAGGGGGTGGAATGGAAGGTTAGGATGACTGAAGTTAGCCTGGTCTTCTTATGCAGCTATTTCATCAGCCAAGGTGGGATCTGACTTCAGCGTCCCTCCCCTCTTGGGTGATTATTCCTATTTATGACAAAGCTACCCCGGGCCCCAAGAATCACTGGAGTCCAGAAAGTTCAGTGTCTTTTTCATACTGATTTCTGAGATCAGACAAGCTCTTGGATATTCACACAGCCTAGATGGATTTAGACCTTCCTGCCCTTCCCCTATTTAGATGAACCTACTGTTGCTATCCCCTTCACAGAGGAGAAGTTCTGCCAGTTGCCTGGACTCTCCCTCTGCCATCCTACCCCACATGTAACCAGCACTGCATCTGGCTGAAGACATTCTAAATTATTTATTTTAGCTTAATGCTGGGGATCAAATGCACATTTGTCTGTCGACATTAGAAAGGCATGAGAATATCTGTGTAAGGTATATGAAAAAAGATGAGAAAAGAGGAAAGGAGTAAATTGAAAAAGGAAGCTACTTGAAAAACATCATTTGTGAAACAATACAGGGAATTCTGCAAGATCTAACCATTAGGTGGCACCATTGGCCCAGGCTGCTTTGGTGGCCCCAAGAAAATGGAGGAGAAAGGGGAAATTTGCTGAGTGGTCTGCAGGTAGGAAGGCTGAAGAGAACCACAGCAGCACAAGTAACTAAACATATACAAGCATTCCTGTAATGTATGCACTCTGAATTAATCCACGTATTCATAAATTTAATCATTAATTCCCTTAAGATTATTTTTAAAGTCTCATAATTTTATGTCTACAAGTTTATTTATATCCCTCGCCCATTTCTATTGATCTATGCTTTCTAAAAATTAATTTCTAGCAGTTCTACTTATTCTGAGTACTAGTCCTTCGTCAATGAGATATATACAAATATACTCTGGTTCATGGCTTGCCTCTTTTTTAATGACAAGTTTCTACGGTACAGAAATTTTTTGTTATAATAGAGGCTAACATTTTTTCTTTGCAATTTCTTCTTTGTGTGTCTTGTTTCTTTTCTTATCTTGAGATCATAAAAACATTCTTTTAGATCATCTTAAACTCTTGCTTTCCCACCATCAGTTTTGTGTTGGTATAGTATAATTCTTTTTTCTTATGGATAAACCAAATACTAATAAAATTTTTTCTGCTGATTTGCCACTCCTCTCATAAAAGTAGTCTTCCATAAATACGGGCACCCATTTGGAGTCTTTCTATTCTATTCCTTGAGTCTGTTTGTTGATTCCTGCACTAAATATCACAATCAACTGACCAGCGATTCTTGACGCCACTTTATTTCTCAAACACATTTACCACATTAGCTAATTTATTCCATTGCATCCTTACAACCACTTCAGGACTCTAGATTGCAGGACATGAGGGAGGATGCACAGACTACAGCTAAAATGCCAAAGAGATTACTGTCAAGCAGCAGAATACAGTTCATCTATTTCAGGACGAAGACAGAGTCAACTGCCAACCATTGGATTTGCAAAACAAAATTTCAAATTAATTAACCTTGGTTCAGTGAACTACTCCAGAAAATGTTGCCTAACTTACTAGGAAATGAGACCTTCGTTCTGAATATCTGCAATTTGATCATTGACGAAACCAGGTATAAGAGCAGAACAGATCAGATCAAAGCCATCATTACCGATGGGGGAGAAATGCACTTTGAGTTTTATTCTGATATGATTACTGAGCTGAAGCTAGAAGGAAGATGATACCTTTTTGCATACATGGGTCTCCAGTGAAGTATGTAGGTCTTTTTGGTGCCAACCAATCAGGAGAGTTTCAAATCAGACACTTAAAACTTAGATAATAATAGCAGGTTGGAATTTTCCAGAAAGGGAACATCCATTTCCATCTGGACCATTTTCATTTTATTATTTTGCTGCCTTGGAAGAAACCAGATGAATGTGAAAATATCCTAGGTTGGAGAGAAAAAAATGGCTTTTGCCACATGAAGGCAGGCCACAAGATAGGTAGAGATGTAACACATGTCCAAATGAACCCACTATTTTTGTCTCCCCAAATCTGCTGTTCTTTCAATATTCCCATTCTCAGCGATGGCAGCACTGTCTGCCCAAATGCTACACTGCCCAAGCTGCATGCCTGGGCACCATCCGTGGAGATCAGTCAAATACAATAGATTCTACTACCTAGAACTCCCAAACCCAAACACATCTCTCCATCTCCCCTCCACTCCATCCCTGCACACACTCACTCTCACCACCAAGGCTATTGTCATCTTTAGAGCTGAAACTGCAGCAATAGCTCTCTGACTGGTCTTTCTGTCTTGAGTTATAGTCATAGCCCTCCTCCCCATTCTTGAAGCCAAAAGGCAAGTCTGGTAATGTCATTTTCTGGCTTAAAACTCGGTAATGGCTTCCCATTCTCCTGAGGCTACAGTCCAAACTGTTTAATATGATTTACGTGGATCTGAGGGATCTAGCCCTTGCTGACCTTCACAACTACTTCCTTGAGAGACTAAGAACCCAGACCATCAAGTCAGTTTTCTCTGGGTTCAAATTCCCACTGCCTCACCTAATAGCTTCAAAACTTGAACAAACTTCTGGACCTCTCTGTGCTTCAGTGCTTTCCTGTGTAAAACGGAGACAGCCACAATGCCCACCTCACAGGGTTGTCAGGAAGACTGAATGAACTAACACAGGTAGAGTGCTCAGGACGGCCCCTGACACATGCTAAGTGTTATATGTAAATTTTCAGTGCTGCAAAGAAAAGTCAGCACTGAGACAAAGGATCTTTCAGCAAGGCAATCTTTACTTCCTGCAGAAAGACTACCCTTGCCAGCAGTCTTGCCACAAGAACACAATGAACAAAGGAAAAGCAGATGTATTTATCACTTAAGCATTTGGGGTCATCCTCACTGCTGTGTCTGATCGTCATTGGTTGGAGCCAGACCTCACAGTCTAACTGAACCCAATTGACTAACTTAAAACTTTCTTGAATAGGTAAAGGCAATGGAGAATAAAAGGAAAAGAGGAAAGCCAAATAAGGAAGGGATAGGAAGTTGCTTGCCAAAGGAGTTAGAAAGGTAATAGCATAAATATCTTGGTTAAAGTATAAAGACATAGAACGTACTATCTGCCTGTGAGCATGCCTAACAGCTACATAGAATAGAGCTTAACAAAGAGTTACTAACAAAAAGCAAGAAGACTTTGAAGAAAGTGTTTAAAACAAGCTATTATTTCTAACGCTTATGATTACTATTTAACAAGAAAGGAAACTTTGAAGTGGAACTTTTCTACTTCCCACAGTGAGCATTCTATCAATGTTAACCATGATTTTTATTTCTTTAATTCATCATGCCTTCTCCAGCTTCTGGGCCCTTGCATCCCAAGTTCTCTCCATCTCAGACACTCTTTCCAACACACTCTGATCATGCTGCAAGGTAGTCTTCTGATGTAGGCAACAGCCGCAGGGGCATCTGAAAACTTGTTCAAAAGACAAATGCTCAGGCCTCACCCTAGACCTACTATATTAGAAACTCTAGGGCTCAACCCCAGCAATCTGAAGATTTTTGCTTTGTTTTGTTTTTTGATAAGAGTCTTGCCCTGTTGCACAGGCTGGAGTGCAGTGGCTGCATCACAGCTCACTGCAGCCTGGACCTCCCGGGCTCCAGAGATCCTCCCACCTCAACCTCCTGAGTAGCTGGGACTACAGGACTACAGGTGTACCACACTGAGCTCTCTTTTTTTTTTTTTTTTTTTTTTTTTTTTTTTTTTGAGATGGAGTCTAACTTTGTTGCTCAGGCTGGAGTGCAGTGGCACGAAATTGGCTCACTGCAACCTCCACCTTCCAGGTTCAAGCGATTCTCCTGCCTCAGCCTCCCGAGTAACTGAGATTACAGGTGCCCACAACCATGCCCAGCTAATTTTGTATTTTTAGTAGAGACGGGGTTTCACTGTGTTGCCCAGGCTGGTCTCGAACTCCTGGCCTTGTGATCTACCTGCCTCGGTCTCCCAAAGTGCTGGGATTACAAGCATGAGCCACTGCAATGTCCCCATTTTTGTATATTTTATAGAGATGGGGTTTCGCCATATTGCCTAGGCTGGTCTCAGACACCTGGGCTCAATAATCCGCCAGCCTCTTCCTCCCCAAGTGCTGTGATTAAAGGTGTCAGCCAGTGTGCTTGGCCAGCAAACTGAGTTTTAGCAAACCCAGCAGTCTTCCATGGGATTCTGACGCCCAGCTAAGGCTAGAAAACCAAGGGACCATCCTTGATAAATTGTACTTAGATGCTTGTTTGTCTCTACCCCGTGATGGTTTCATCCATCTTAGTTGGTTCATCTCCTTTGTAGGTGTTGAAAACTACAAGCCATCACGAACTGGAAGGGGGTAAGCCATATTTCGTAGTACACATGATCTAATTCTGTGCTCCTCTTTGCTGTTTCCCTAAATCAACACCGACGTATTTCTAAAGGCTTGCCTAAACGTTCCAACCTGTTCTCAATCTTGAAGCCAGGCTTAGGCCTAAGCTGTAAAGGGGGAGGGGAGCCCCTGGAGGTAGAGGGGCAAAGGCAAGATGCTTGCATCCCAGGGGCCCTGCATGGCCTGGAGCGGCATAGGGGCCACGAGGGTCTGCGCTCTCCCTAGACTGAAGTTTCTCTCCTTCACCATCTTTGGAGGAAGCACAGATCACTGAGGAAAGAAGGGGCAGTGAGCCCAGGGAATGGAAACAGACTAGGGAAGTCAGGAAGGCTCAGGGTCTCAGCATCTGCACAGCCACCAAACTCCTGCCTCCTAATAAACACCGCTGAGCGAGAGCTGAGGAAACCCTCCTCCTCCTCATCCCTCCTCTCTCTCTGCCCCCTCGCAGTCCTCCCCATTCTCCCCCCACCCCCGCCATTTCTCACTCCTCTACTCCCCTCTCTCTCTCCCACCTCTGACCCCTCCTCCACTTCTGCCGCCTGGTAACAAAACCGCTGGTTCCCGACACACGCACGGCGGCGCTGGCTGGCTGAATGGCTTCCCTACAGAGAGGCCTGCGGCCCTGAAGGAGCCCGGGGCGCTGGCCACGGGGACCTCGGGGCCGCTGCTGGGTAGGAGACCCTCCCGCGTGCAGGGGGCGGAGGCGGGCGCGCCGGGAGGTTCCCAGCTCCCGCCAGCACAGCCCGGGAGGGGCAGCCGCTGTGCCGCCGCCGCAGGCCCCGCTCCCACCCGCCGCCCATCCCCCGGCTCCCGCGGCCCCGCGGCGCCCCCTTCCGCGGACTCCACGGGACCCTTCCTGGCCGGCGCTGTGCGCTGGAGAAGGTTTCGCGGTGCACGCATGGCGGCAGGGGCGGCCGAGCGGAAGGCGGCGCCGGTGCTGGAGGCGCTTCCGCAGCAAGAGCAGGTACGGGGGGCGCGGGGGCGCGGGGGCGCGCCCGGCCGGGGTCCCGGGGCTCACGCTGGGGCCGGGCAGGCTGCACAGACTGGTCTCCAAGACCCCCGGCCCCACCAGGGAGAACCGGCCCTGGAAGGACGTGGGGACGGATGACCTTCTGGAAGATGCCACCTTGACGGGTGCCAGCCCCTCCTCCACTCCCTTCCTCCCGTTTCTGTCCCTCCCGGCTACCTTCCTTTCTTCCTTCTGATCCTCTGCTTTGGCTCCATCCCTCTCCTCGAATCCTCGAACTTTCTCTTCCTGGCTCACCCTTTCCACTCCCGCCCTCCTTGGTGACCGCCTGTGTGCCCTCCTCCCTCCTCGGCAGAAGCCCCCAGGGCCCAGGGTCTAGGTCGTTGGCAGCGAGGGAGGGGAAGGGGTGTGCCCCAGGCTCTTGGCTAGACCGCCCTGGCTCTCAAACTCCAGCATCATCAGAATCACTCGGAGGCCGTGTTACCACGCAGACTGCTGAGCTGTGCCCCAGGGTTTCTGGTTCAGGACGTCTAGAAGGGGCCTGATCGTTAGCTTGTCTAACTGGCGCCTGGCGCTCAGCCTAGTCCATTTCCGCTCCTGCTGACGTCGATTGCAAACCCAAACTTAATTTATTCTTTATTCGTAAGACAATTCTTAGGCTGCGTCAAAGGTACCAGGAGGGTTTGGGGTGGGGGAGCGTAGGTCTTACCTGGAGGAACATGAATCCCATCCATAAAACAAGGACAAAAGTAACTCTTAAGGGCAAAAACAACTCTTAACAACAAAGATCACTCACATAGCAGGTAGGAATAGATTATTGTCCCAAAATAAGTTCAGGCGAAGAGCTGTAGGATTTCTGAGAAGGGCTTACTCCTGACTGCTTGCTACCCGCCGTTCTCCTCCAACCCGTGAGGGCGTGGCGTTCGAGCTGGGTGCTGGGGAACGGACAGGATCTGACAGCATGGACCAGAGAATTCTAGATGGAGGCAACAGCAGTACCAAAGGGCTTGGAGATTTTTTTTTTTTTTTTTTTTTTTTGAGACGGAGTTTCGCTCTTGTTACCCAGGCTGGAGTGCAATGGCGCGATCTCGGCTCACCGCAACCTCCGCCTCCTGGGTTCAGGCAATTCTCCTGCCTCAGCCTCCTGAGTAGCTGGGACTACAGGCACGCGCCACCATGCCCAGCTAATTTTTTGTAGTTTTAGTAGAGACGGGGCTTCACCATGTTGACCAGGATAGTCTCGACCTCTTGACGTCGTGATCCACCCGCCTCGGCCTCCCAAAGTGCTGGGATTACAGGCTTGAGCCACCGCGCCCGGCCTGGAGATTTTTTTTTTAATGTTGGGATGGATGGCCATGGGAAAAGGCAAAGAGAGGGGACTGTCCACTCTGTCTGGCAGAAACCTAGGGATCAGGAATGCTTATAGCAAAAAATAAGGGTGGGCTAGGCTGTGGAGGGGCTTGTGTACCACAAAATGGGGAAACTTATAGTGACACTCAATGACTTTCTGCTGGTTTCAAACTCAGATTATCCAAAGGGGGGTTCTGAATTGATCAATGCATGCCAGCAGGGTCAGAGGACCTAGCACTGGTGAATTTGCTGCTGATGTTTGCTCTTCCTTAAGGCTGGCATCACTGCCTGGTTTGCTGCCCTCAGGAGGTTCTGCCTCTCTGTTAAGGCTGCCCTAGGAGGGACTCACAGCTTTTCCCGATAATCCCTCACAAGACAGCATGGTCCAGGGCCCAGCAGCCAAGGCATCACCTGGGAGCCTGTTAAAAATGCAGAGTCTCAGTTCCCACGCCAGACCCACTGAACCGTAATCTGCATTTTAACCAGACCCCAGGGTGATTCATTTGCACATCAAAGTTCAAGAAGTGCTGGTTTCTTGACTTTACTAGAGCTGGGGATAAGAAAGGAAAAGTAGAGATAGTAACCAGCCTGTATCTGATAGCATCCCTTTAGTTTGAACCTCACCCTCTTTTATTGTCCTTCACCACCCTTATAGCTACCTGAAGCATGTCTGTGTGTGTATTTGATTGTCTAAGAACCTCCTTCAGGCACAAAAGCTCCAGCAGAGCAGCCAGGTGGTCTGCCTTGCTTGCTTTTGTATTTCCAGGATCTAGAACAGTCTTGGCAAATGGCAAGGCCTCAATAAATATCTACTGAATGAATAAATGAACAGTAACATACAATCTCATGATGTGGGACCCGAGCCCCAGCGACAAACACCATCTCCCTATTCCCCATCCTCCACCTGCCCAGCTACAACCCCTAGGGTCTTTTGAGTCTGCTACTGGTTGTGTATGTTTGAAACTCCTTAAAATTGGAGTGTAAGAGAGCAGAGAGTATGGGTTTAGGAGTTCCCTCTTCTGCTAAGGCTTGCTTTCCAGGCTCTGATTTCTCCTGAGAGCTGAGAGGACCCACCACTTCCCCCAAAACTGCCACCTCCTTGGGGTAAACCATGCACAGCCCCTCCTTTCCATCCACAGTCATGCAGCCTTGCCTCGTGACATGAATTCCTCACCAATGAATACACCCCTCCTAACTAACATTCCTACCTGGCACTCACATGCGGCCCAGGGACATCAGTAGTTTCTGAGTTCATTGTTATGGTTTTCTCACTTGTCATAAACAGATTTTTCTAACAGGTGGATATTGTAAGGGAAGAGTTGAAAGTGGGGAAATCAGTTTGGAGGCCCCAGTTCAGGTGAGAGATGATGAGAGCCAATTCCACGAGGGGTGGCAGTCTCCAAATACAACGAGCGTGCCATGTGCCAGACATGGGGATTCAGTGGGGGGATGAGGCCAGCCCTGGCCCCCTACAGATTCGGGTAAGTAAGTGAGTCATCACCAATGCAGCCTGGTAACAATGTTCAAGGTCAGTAGATATCCTGGGAGGGGCCTCACTGAAAGGGTGTCCCGGAGTAAGTGGGACCCAAGGGTGGGCAGCAATGAGGCAACCCAGCTTGGAGGCTGGAAGGAGCAGAGGGCGTGTGGGGCAGTAGAGGGAGGGGAGGCTGAAATGGGATACAAGGCCTTGTGAGCCATGTTGGATTTCGGGCAGGAAGACAATAATAGGATCAGTCTACCTTTAATGGGAGCACTCTTAGTGTTTGAAGGGGGAAGAGAGTGAAGGCAAGGGCTTCAGAGGAGGGGGACACCCTGCATGCTGGCCTCTATCTCATCCTCCCCTTGCCACCCTATCTAAAGGGCGACAACCCTTCCCTGATGCTGGTTATTCTTTATCACACATTCTATTTTCTTCATAGAATTGACTTCATTAGGCAGTTGTTTTGTTTGCTGGTTTACTGTGCATCATTTCCTCTAGAACACACAGCCCTATTCATGAGGACAGGCAGGCACCTTGTTTGTCTTTCTTACCCGTGAATGCCGGCTCTTAAGCCAGTGGCTGGCATGGGGGAGGCACCACTCCATATTTGCTGAATGAATGGAAAAAGGAATGGTATAAAAGCCACAGGGGTGGAGAGAAGGGGGCATGTTTGTGAGGCATTTATAAGTAGGGTCAACAGGAGAGTAGTATGTTGGAGTTACAGGGTTGGTTAAGGGCAGGGATGATGCCTCAGGCTTTTCTGCTTTGGGCAATTGGATAGATAGGACAGGATGCTATTGACTGAGACAGGGACAATGAAGTGGGAACAGCTTGCGGGGAAACAAGTATGTTTACTTTAGGGCAGGTTAATTCACATATCTGAGAGAGAGATTCCCAAATGGAGCACCGTAGGAGGCATTCAGAAGCATCTGGAGCTCACGCAGATTTAGCTAGCCAAAAGAAATGATGGTTCTGGGACAGGAAAAAAAGGACGTGGCAACTGATCAGACAAGGAAAAGGATAAAAGAGAGGGCAGAGGCAAGCTTACTTTTGTACTGTTCTTTTTAGTGACATATGTTCACGTAGAATACACTTAATGTAAAGAAGTATAAGAAAGAAAGTAAATACCCAAGACGCATCACCATCCATGGAGCATTCCTGTTAACATCTTGGGAGCCATTCTTCTGGATTTTTTTCTTCCAGATGTCTCTTTATGTAACTATACATTTACATAAATAGGCTCAGATTATACACAACTGTTTTGATGCATGTTTTTTCTGTTAACAATATGTCATGAAAACATTTATGTCAGTAAATGTGAATCTATGTTATCATTTTATATATCTTATAGACATACAAAGATATGGGTCTTTTCATCCATCATGCTGGGTACTTGGTGAGTATTTCATTTTTAAAACAGGTATCTTTCAGTCCTTGGAAATTTTCTTCTATAATTTCTTTTAAACTTCTTGCCATCTGTTATCTTCTTCTCTGGTTCTATAACTCCTTTTTTTTTGGATGTGAGGAGATTTCCTGGCCCAATTCTCTAATATTCTTATATTTTCTCTCTTGTTTTCCATCTCTTTGAGGTTTTTTAAAATTCTTTCTGAGTTCTTCAATCTATCTTCAATTTTTCCATTCGATTTTTTATTTCTGTCTTCTTGTTTTTAATTCCTAATAGCTTTTGGTTGTTTTTCTATGTTAAGGCTCAGTGTCATCATGGGTGCAAAACCCTTTCCTGTCTCAAACATCTTGTGATCTTTGATTGTTCACTTGTCTCACAAAGGCGAGACTCTACAACACTGTTAAGCCCTTGCTAGCAGGGAAAGCTTGTTGACAGGCAGACTTCAGTGGAGGGTGGCCTGGCTGGGCCTTTCCATAGGGAGAACAAGGACTATTCATAGCTATAGGACTTTTCTCTTGGCTTAGATTGATTTATTCTGTGTGTAAGGGGCACATCTGGCTGCCAGCCAAGTGGGCAAGCTCATATCTAACATGCCTAGGCCAAGAGCACAAATGGAGGCCCTCGTGCCACATGTCTAAGTATTATCAACTGATCTGCTCTCACAGCCCTGCCTGCAGGTCCACCTGTGGCCCGAGTAGCCACATTCTCCCTAACTGCACTGCTGACTACAGGCTTGAGTAGTAGCAAGGATCTGCTGGGACCTGTACTAGTTTCCTAGGGCTGCCATAACAACAAAAAATGTATTCTCTCACAGTTCTGGAGGCCAGGAGTTCAAAATCTAGGTGTCAATGGGTCATCTCCCTCTAGGGGAAACTTCTTACTTGCCCCTTCCATCTCTAGTGACTCCAGGTGTTCTTGGCTTGTGGCTGCATCACTCCAGTCCCTGTTTCCAACTTCACCTGGCATTCTACTCTGCCTTGCTACTCTGTGCCTGTGTCTCTGGATGTCAAATCTTCCTCTTCTTTCTCTTGTAAGGTTGCTAGTCATGGGATTTAGGAGCTGCCCTAAATTTTGATGGTCTTATCCTGAGGTCCTCAATTACATTTGCAAATACCCTATTTCAAAATAAGATTACATTCCAGGTACCAGGGGTTAGAACTCAGGCATATCTTTTTGGAGGACACAATTCAACCCACTACAGTGCTTAAACCAGGGACGAGGACTGACCCCACTAACAACCAAGGAAGCTGTGATGCTTAGGATCTCCCACCACACACCTCACTTTTCAGACAGGATTTCCAAGCAGTTACACGCTGCTCCCAGACTACCCCACTTCAGTTCGCTGGGGAGCCTGGTCAGGCGAGACACCCACTTTAGATGGTTTGGGAAAGCCAAATTTCAAAACTTTATCTCTGATTTCCCAGAACACAGGCTATTCTTTTTCTTCTCCCCAACCTCCCAATCCCCTGGGGTATCAACCCTACATCATCTCTCTCCAATCAAGGTCTACTCATAAAATCAGTTACCAGACTTTCAAAATATTTTCTTAAGAGACAAAAAAGACAAAAACACAATTCTTTTGTGTTTCGGGGTTTGAGATGTCTGGGGTGTTCTAAAGCAAGGCAGGGCCCCTGCAGCCTGATCTGGAGATGATGCCGCCAGGGAGTATGGACTGACCCCACTGACTCCCAAGGAAGCTGTGGTAGATAGGCTCTCCCACCACACACCTCACTTTTCAGACGGGATTTCCAAGCAGTTCCAAGCTGCTCCCAGACTACCCCGCTTCAGTTCACTGGGGACCCTGGTCAGCCAAGACAGGATTTGGGGGCTCTCCAGACTCAGATGAAGGCTGTCAGTGCCCTCTGCTCTCCCTCCACGTGCCTGGTGCCTCTGGGCCTGTGCCTCAGGTTTAACAATTAGCACTCTGCTAGTGTGGGGACCTCCACACTAAAAACTGGCTTTCAGTGAACCTCATGTTATTAACCCCAGTTGCATCTCCCAGTTCCAGACGCCTTAGGACCCTGCAATCCACAGCCCTTCTGAGGGTCTTAGGACACACATTCTGCTCTGCACTGCCCACATGCTGGTGGGCTTCAGTGTCTTTTGCCCTGTGGCGTCCCAGTGTCCCCTTCTGCTGGCCCATCTGCTGTTCAGTTCCAGAATTGGTTGCTCTGGACTTGGACTTGGAGGATTACATTCTTTTGTTGCTGTTCTAGTGGTGTTTGGGGAGGGAGAGGAGGTCAGCGCACTTTTTTTACTTACCATGGTTCACTAGAAGACCTTGTTTTTACTTTTTTTTTTTTTTTTTTTGAGATGTAGTCTCACTCTGTAGCTCATACCAGAGTGCGGTGGTGTGATCTCGGCTCTCTGCAACCTCTACTTCCGGGGTCCGGGTTCAAGCAGTTCTCCTGCTTCAGCCTCCCAAGTAGCTGGGATTACAGGCATGTGCCACCACGCCCAGCTAATTTTTGTATTTTTTAGTAGAGACGGTGTTTCACCAAGTCTGGTCTTGAACTCCTGATCTCATGATCCACCCACCTCTGCCTCTCAAAGTGCTGGGATTACAGACGTGAGCCACCATGCCCGGCCTTATTATTTTTTTAATACAGTTATTACTAGTGAGCTTGAACACCCTTCCATAAATTTATTGGTCATTTGTATATCTCAATTCATGAATTTCTTATTCATGTATTTTGCCCTTTTGGACCATCTGTCTCTTTTTGATAAATTATAAAAGCTCATTTTACGTTTGCTTATTGATTTTTTGCCCCTCACATATGTTACGCTTTCCTCAGTTCAATATGTCTTTCAAATATTGAGCATTACAATGTATTTTATTTTTATGTCCTCAAAATCTGTCATTTTTTTAACTTTATAATTTCTGGGCTCTACATCATACTTAAATTTGCCTTTTCCACTGCACAATTATAAACATGTTTACCCATATTTTCTTCTAGTACTTTTAAGATTTTCTTTCTCACATTCAAGAGAGAACAAGGATTTGGATGAAATTGAAAAGTATAGGTTTCAGCAATATTTGCACAATGCCGGGACCTTTCTGGGTGATGCCAGGAAAGAGGAAGTGGTTGGCACGGGGGTAATACTGGCAACTTCTCCATGGCTCCCTGCCCCCAGGTGATCCCACCAGGTGGGTCCCTAATATTCAAATGAAAGTCACAACAGCTGGGCTCAAGTGTTGAGTTACAGGAGTGAAGCAAGCCTCAGGTAGTTAAGGTGCATGAGTCTCCTCCTTTGTTCCACAGGTCCCTCTCTGCTAAATTCTGCTTTGGGGGCAAAAACATTGGCTTTCTATGCTCTTCTATATTCTCCACCAAAGTTACATGATTATATCTTTGGCCTTAAAGGTTTCAAATAACCAAATGTAGTGGGTTAGCAATAATCTCGAAAAGGCAGTCTATGGGTGGACTCTGCAGGTAATCCAAAAAGCAATGTTCTGGAGATGATCTCTCTGCTCTCCTGCTCAATTTGTAAGGGCACAAGCCCAGATTACTCCCTTCCATGGAGTCAGTAATGATGCCTTCTTAACAGGAAAGTACAAGAATGCTCCAAATCAACAGAGCCTCTGGTCAGCTCTGTCTCTGAAACTTTGAACTTGGAAATGATATTTACTCAGTGAGATTGGAGATTATACTTACTCACTGCCATCATTTAAGATACCAGCAAAACAGATGTTTTTTAGGGATGCTCAGACTCACACTTCATATCCTAGAAGCCAGAGTAGCACCGCCTATTAGGAGACCACTCTCTGTAACTTTGACTGATTTGCCAAAACAAAACCACTGAAATGGAGCCTCATCTGATTCTCTGATCTGGGAACATGATCAAATATTTATTAATAGGGACCTGATTACTCTTTTTTTGTTTGTGTTGTTTTAGTTCTATAAGCAAATTATTTTACTAGGACTTTTATCCCAAATTATTCAAATACTATGTGGCATTGTTATTTTTCATGGTTTGGGTTTCCCATGTGTTGCTTTAACATACAAGCCAAATAAACAAGGACATTTTTTGATAAGGGCCCTTTTTATGTTTTTCAGATCTCTCATACAAAGCTTTCTGCAGAAGATGCATGGAAGTAAGTAATTAGTATTTTTTGAGAGTTGTTTGGCTAAAAATTAGATTTTTATCTTAACGGTTGAGAAATTGCAAATTTTCCAGGATAGAGAAGATGGGGTAGGATACACAAATACTGTAGACCAAAACTGCATGGATTTCCTCTTTTTGCTGCAGCATAGTCCGTAGGAAAAGATCATGCAGTCCCACAAAGCTGAATTAATATATTCTTCAAAATATGGCTGTGTCAAGCTACTATTATTTTAGCCACAAGATACACTGGTTTTGTTCCTCTACCATTGCCCCTGTGTTCTGGTACATACCGTAAGGCCATTGGACCCTGTGAGCACCACATGAAGTGAAATACAAATGAAAAGCTCCTCCTTTTTTATATTTCAGGAGTTAATTTTCGATGTATTTCTTCCCCTAAAAGAATATACTTACTACATTTGTACACCAATATATACTTTTCAAAGTACTTTGACATAGGTTAACCCATTTGAGATACATTTTTATTGTAGATTAACCTGTTATAACAGATTAATAGATTAAACTCATGAAACAGATTTTATTTTATATCTCTGCAAGTTCTATTTTAGACTGATGATGAAGTCACTCTTTTATCTACATGGCCTAAGTTCAAAGTCTGTTAATTATACAGAATATTAAATAGCTCTTTTAGATCTGGAGCTGTAAAAACCAGAACTAAGCTCTTTTACTCTTTTCATTTTTCTTCCCATTTCTCCAGGGAGTCACGTGTTTTTTGTTTTTTGTTTTGTTTTGTTTTTAATGAACTTCTAGAAATCATTCTTGTCTCCTGAGCTCATCTTCCAATAGAGAGACTAATAGCCTTGTAATTTTATTCAAGTTGCTGATCTGATATGGATTTCAACTTTGTCATTTGATAAATGAAGGAGATTCATTCCATCTATGGTAACTGCTAGCACTGACATTCTGAGAATCCCTCTCAAAGAAGCTGAACTTGAGCAGGAGTATTTACTAGGTTCTGTGGGCTGGTTTCTACATGTTTTCCAGCAGGGGGCACCCTTGGGATTTGGATGGGGCCCTTTTCTGAGGTATTCACTACTCTGCTCTTTAGAAACGCTGGCAGAGGAAGAGAACCCAACCCACATACCCATCAAGTGCCTTTAAAAAGTCACTATCTCATGGCACAGACTGTTACCCTGCGGTGTTTTCTGGGTGGTACACTAGCTAACTGCATACTGTAACCAGTCATAAGTGGAAACTTAATTTTAAGAGATTTCATGACTCATGGTGCCACACTAGGAATGAAAGATGATGCTAACCAATATTTAGAAAGTAACTGATAGCATTCATAATTTTTCCGCATGTTCACTCATCTTGACCCTGGGCCTCTTTCTCTTCCTCTAGGCTTGTGGTTCTCTAACTTAGCTGCACCTTAAAATGACACGGGATGCCTGAAAAATTCCTGATGCCAGATCCCATCCTGCAAATCTGTATTAATTTGCTAGGAATCGCATAACAAAATATCACAGAATAGGTGGCTTAAACCACATAAATGTATTTTCTCGCAGTTCTGGAGGCTGAAAGTCCAACATTAAGGTGCTGGCACATTTTGGTTGGCACGTTCAAGGATAGGGGATTAGGACTTCAGTGTATGAACTTTGAGAGGGTACAATTCAGCCCCCAACACCCAGAAATGGTCATCTAATTGATGTGGATATCAGGGGTTAAGGTTTTTTTAAAGCTTCCCAGGGATTCCTAACTTAAAGACAAGGTCGAGAACCACTGCTGTGGGTTTTCGCTGAGGCTACTCCAGGATGTTAAACCAGATGATAAACTATTTTGTTGATTTTCTGTGCCATTGTGCAAAGTTAATCATCCAACTAAAATGGAAACATTCAGCCATCATGGGAATGTCTGTGCATGTCTAAGATAACACTTAAGCCTATTATTTCTCTCTGTTATAGTTCTGTAAAAATTTATACAACTCACTGAGTAGCTTTCCATTGCCCTGTGGATAATATACTGTCCTCTGGCATAGGCGGAATCTGCAGGGTATCCTTTTAGTTGAAATGGTAGGAAATTATTTAAAATCACCAACATTTGACTCCTTTTGACTTTCAAAAATGGAAGTTTCACCTGATTGCAGCCCAATAATAATTATTCCTCATATAGGCACAAATAAAATAACAATGTGCTTTACACTCTTACAACAACCTTGTCAGTTACAGAAGGATGGTTATCTTAAATTTGCAAATGAGGAAACTGAGACTCGGAGAGGATAAATGACTTCCCCGAGGTTGTGAGGCAATGAAGTGGCAGATCAGGAACTGGGACCCAGGTCTTCCTGGGGCCCATTAGTTTTTTACTTAAAAGACAAGGCTGAAGCCAACCACATGGGAAAGGAAAGGGCTAAGAGGAACTGGTTTTGCTAAGAGAGTCAGGCTCCTGCTCCCAGCTGCTCCTTCTCCAGATCTTGAGAAAGGGAAGGAACCAAGAAAAACTTAGAAAAACTTTATAATCAAAACTTACCAACCCTTACATTAGAAATCCCCTGTTGCTTTTTGTGAGCCAAATCTGTTTTTTTTTTTTTTTTTTTTTTTTTTTTTTTGCTAAATGTGCAAGGTTGAGGGCTTTTTCAGATGACCTCATTTGCCGGTTCCAGCCTGCAGCAGGAGAGGATGTACAAGATGCACCGCGGCCACAAATCCATGCACGTGGAAATGATCTTGATCTTCCTCTGCGTTCTGGTCATTGCCCAGATAGTGCTGGTTCAGTGGAGACAGAGGCACGGCCGATCCTACAATGTGAGTCACCCGCATGGCTGCGGGGAGCCTGCTCCAGCTTGTATCAGCTTGACTTTTTGTCCAGGACACATTCTCCCTTGGTTACCACTTTGAAGTAACTGCCTTGGTTTAACTCAGTGGTTCTCAACCAGGTGCAATTTCACTCTCGGGAGTCATTTGGCAATGTCTGGAAACATTTTTGATTGTCAAGACTTGCAGGGATGGAGGTGGGAGGAGAGTTGCTACTGGCACCTGGTGGATGGAGGCTAAGGATGCTGGTAAACATCCTCCAATGCAGGACAGCTCCCCACAGCAAAAATTATCTGGCCTAAAATGCCAATGGTACCAAGCCTGAGAAACTCTGGTTTAAGTAAACCAGTTTTCCTTTCACGCGTGAACACCTTCTGCCAACAGCCCAGGAAAGGAGGATTAGGAATAGCCAAAAGAAATGGTTTAGCCTCTGCCATGGTTTGAATGTGTCCCCCAAAGTACTTGTGTTGAAGATTTAATCTCCAACGCAACAGTGCTGGGAGGTGGGGCCCAATAAGAGGTGAGTCAGCCATAAGGACTCTGCACTTGTGAATGGATTGATGCCATTATTGTGGGAGTGGGTTTATTATAAAAATATGAATGTGGGCCCATTTTCTCTCTCATTCTCTCTTGCCCTCTCACCTTCTGCCATGAAAGACACAGCAAGAAGGCCCTTGCAAGATGCCAGCCCCTCTGTCTTGAACTTCCCAGCCTCCAGACCATGAGGCAATACATTGCTGTTTATTATAAATTACCCAGTCTGTGGCATTCTGTTATAGCAGCACAAAACAGACTAAGAAAGAAAATTGGTACCAAAAAGTGGGACTGTTACTGTAACAAATGCCTGAAAATGGGGAGGCAGCTTTGGAACTGCATAATTGGACAGAGGCTGGAAGAGTTTGAAGGAGCAGGCTAGAAACAGCTGGGCTTGCTGTAATGGAGTATGAAGGGTGATTCTGGTGAGGGCTCAGAAGAAGAAAAGAACTACAGAGAAAGTCTGAAACTTCTTAGAGATTACTTAAGTGGTCACTTAAGTCAGAATGTTGGTAGAAATGTGAACGGTAAAAGCAATTTTCCTGAGGTCTCAGACAGAAATGAGGAACAAGGTTTTGGAAACTGAAGTAACGTCCATCCTCATTATAAAGTCAAAGAACTTGGTTTAACTGTGTCCATGCCGGAGGGCTTTATGGAAAGCAAATTTAAGAGTAATGGACCAGGATGTCTGGTGAAAGAAACTTCTAAGCAATATATTGAAGGACTTGCATGGCTTCTGTTAACTGCATATAGTAAAATGAAAGAAGAGAGAAATGATTTAAAGATGGAATTTATAAGTAAAAGGGAAACAATATAAAATTTGGAAAACTCACAGCCTGGCGATGTAAAGGATAAAAAGGCTTGCAAGGTGTAGCCAAGTGACCCTTTGATAAAGGGGATTTACACAGCTAGAAGGAAGCCAGGTGCAATTAATCAAGAAACAAGAAAATGACCCTGAAGGTATTTCATTGATGTTCAAGGCTGCCCCTCCCATCACAGGCCCAGAGCTCTAGGAGAGCAGAATGGTTTTGGGTGACTCTCCCAGTATGCCTTCCTCAGGACCAGTAAGCAGAGCCACCTCAGAACTCTGCTTCTTGAATTCCAGCACCACACTCCTTGGCTGCTTCAGCTGTGGCTTCAGGGAACCCAGGTGCAGCTCTACCTGCTGCTCAGGAAGGTACAAGCTGTAAATTTTGGTGGTGCTAATTCTGTAGGCACATGCTGTGAGGCCATGACACCCTCCACTTAGATTTCAAAGGATGTAGCAGACAACCAGAGGGCCTAGGCAAAGACTTATCTTGGGGCAGAGCTGCCACAGAGAGCCCTGAGGAGGATAATGCCCTGCACAAGTGTGGAGTGACAGCCATAGCAGAGTCCCCACTAGGCCTAGGGGAGCCCTTCATGGTGAGGATGCCCCCTAAGCCCCAGAGCTGTACAATTACCAACATGCAGCTCCAGCCTAGTAGAGCTATGGGCATGAGATTCCAACTTGTGAGAGTTGTGTGGGCTGAGCCCAGCAAAGCCATGGGGGCAAGGCTTTTCCTGAGTCCTCAGGGTTCCAAACCCTACCTCAGTATGCCCAGAAAGTGGGACATGGAGGCAAGGAAGATTATCCTCAAGTCTTAGGATTTAGTATTGTTCACCTTGTTGAATTTTAGACTTGCTTGGGGCCTGTTACTCCTTTCTTCTTGCCTATTTCCCCCTTTTGGAATGGGAATGTCTATCCTCTGCCTGACCTATCATTGTATTTTGGAAGAAGATAACTTGTTATTTTCACAGGCTCATAGCTGGAGGGAAACTTGCCTCAGGATGAATTGTGCCCTGAGTCTCACCCATATTTGATTTAGATGAGACCCTGGACTTTGGACTTTTGAGTTGGTGCCAGAACAAGTTAAGACTTTGAGGCAATTGGGATGGAATGAATATATTTTACATGTGAGAAAAACATGAATTTGGGGCCAGAACAGAATGCTGTGGTTTGAGAGTGTCTCCCAAAGTTCATGTGTTTGGAAACAAAACATTCAATGCAATTGTTAGGAGGTGGGGCCTAATGAGAAGCAATTAGGTCATGAGGGCTCTGCCTTCATGAATGAACTAATGCCTTTATTGCAGGAGTGGGTTCCTTATAAAAAGACGAGTTCAGCCCCCTTTCCTCTCTCTTGCTTTCTCTGGCCCTCTTGGCTTATGCCATGAGATGATGCCGTGAGATGGCCCTCACCAGATGCCAGCCATTCAATCTTGGACTTCTGAGCCTCCAGAAGGAGAAATAAATTTCTTTTCATTGTAAATTATGAATTTATTTCTCACATAAATAAATTATGCGAGAAATAAATTTCTTTTCATTGTAAATTACCCAATCTGTGATATTCTAGTATAGTAGCACAGAATGGACTAAGACACTATCCAACGTTGTTTCATTAGCAGTAAACTATCTTGGCACTAATGGTTGCATATCCATGGAAATGCATTCATACAAACACTGCACTGACCTCAGCAACACAGAGCAAGATTCTGTTTTCACAGACCAAGCTCATTCAAGCATGTTCACTAGAACCTTCCCATCTCAGGGCCTGAGACTCATACTGTGGGCCTTGTTGGGCCTGACACCTTGCCATTACAATGTTTAGAACAGTAGTTCTCAATGGTTAGGGCAGGGTGCATCAAAATCATGTGGAAAACGTGGTTCCCGGGTCCTGTCCCCAGAGTTTCCCTCGTGGTGCTAGTAGTGCTGAGGCTGCTAGTCCTGGAACCACACTTAAAACCTCCAGTTTAGATTCAAACGTGGACTACATGGAGAAGTGCTGCAAAGGGACAAGGCCCTCAGTTAACACTCTACATGGTTCTGGGTCATGGAATGGCCATTACAGAGCCTGAGGGACTCTACTTGCCTGTAACACATGAAGTGTTGACTTAGACCAATATATTATTATTACCTGTCATAAAATTTATTTCCTATGTACTACAGGGTCTAAAGGAATTCTTTGAGTTCTGTATAATATGTAAGTTTAGGCAATTTTGAACATTTTCGTTAGAAAGGGGAATCGCATTTTATTGTTTAAAGCAAATGTATCCATTTTCTGCCATGTCACTGTTGTCTTATCAATTATACTAAACATCCTTTATATTGCACTTGGATAATGTTTTTAAGTGGATGAAACTAGAATCAAACCTCACTAGTTCTTCATTCATATCAAAGAAAAGCTCTTTAAATATATCTTAACTATGGTTTCCTTATCTTCAAAATGGAAATATCTAAGATAAAATTTCTGGAGTCCTCGTGTAGTAAGAAACCTAGATTCATAAGGAATCAGTTCATAGCCTTATTCATTCTTTCTTTATAATTAATCATTATCTCTGGACTGATGTTTTTTTCCCATAGTAACACAGGCATGGATTTTGCATAGGAAGCCCCCTGACCTTGAAAGGAAACAGTGTTCCAGGAGCCCTTGACTTGCACTGTGTCACACCACTCCTGCACCATTTTGATTTGATGATTTTTTTTTTTTTTTTTTGAGATGGAGTTTCACTCTTGTTGACCAGGCTGCTGTGCAGTGGTGCAATCTTGGCTCACTACAACCTCCACCTCTTGGGTTCAAGCAATTCTCCAGCCTCAGCTTCCCAAGTAGCTGGGATTACAGGTATCTGCCACCACACCCAGCCAATTTTTGTATTTTTAGTAGAGACAGGGTTTCGCCATGTTGGCCAGGCTGCTCTCAAACTCCTAACCTCAGGTGATCCACCTGCCTTGGCTTCCCAAAGTGCTGGGATTACAGGCATAAGCCACTGCACCCAGCCAGATTTGATGATTTTTGAGGTGGCTTATGTACAACGACCATCCTTGTCTTGTATTTGAAGCAGTTGCTCTTGTGTCAACTCTTGGAGGATGTGTGTCACTGCACCCGTGGTAAGTGTAAGTGTGGCACTTACACACTCGCTCTACCTGGCAAAGACAGAACTGCCTATGGGTCAGAATCCCCTTTAAGGACTTGTGGCCATTGAAGGGTCTAACCCTAGGTAACTCAGGCTACATTGGACCAGGTAGACACCCTGGAGCCTGCCCCCTGTTGGTTAGCTGGAGTCATCCGAGTGGTTTCCTCTTACTAACTGTACAAGCTGTGCTATCTGGAATGCCTCCCCAGGGACTTGCTTTTGACTGCCATCTGCCTGAATCCTTTAGTCACCCCACGTTTGCTCCTAAGGTTGCTGTTTCTATGTCTCTCTGTCATACAACTCCTATGTTTTATGGCTACCCAGAGGGGCTCTGTGGTCCTAAGGATCATCTTGGAGGTGACCAGGCGCCTGTGATCATGCCTCTCATGGTGATAATGATCATGGTGATCCTGTCTAGCATCTTGACAAAGTCAGGAGCCTGCATAAAGTTGCCCCCACCATAGTCAAGGACAGATTCAGGTCTCCTGGTGCCTTGAGACTCTGCTGAGTTAGCTTCCAGACTTAGT